AAAAATATAATAAATGTACCTTAACGAATATTTTTTAAAATACATATTAAAAAAATCATTAATAAAATAACCAAAATTTATATCCTCATTATCAACCTTTATTCTTATTGTTTCAATTATTCATTATCTAAGTAATTTAGTGTTTTTTTTTACTTAAAATAAAAAATTTTAAATTCACATAATATATAAATAAAATAAAAAATAATTATTTTTCATTATATAATTAAAATTAAAAAAAAAAATTCTTACGGTTTCAATTGACAGTATGTTTTTTTGATAATACACCCAGTTGAGAAAGTATTGAAAACGGATCATAATTGAGATCCAAAAGTCTGAAATCTTGATAGCGGCAGCAGAGAAGAAAGAAAAGAGACACATCCAACGATAAGCCCTGCCACCTCCCCAATTGTCCGCACCCTTACACATATACACACCCAACCACCATCCCATCTACACCTGTCATTTCAACCTGTCTTGTCATGTCAATTCGTGTATGCCCAGACAGATCATGTCATGCCTGCTTATACCCCTGACATGAGCAGTGTAATGATGACGTTAAATTTTTTTAACTCTCAATTTTTCTTAAATAATATAAATAAAAAATCAATTATCAATTATTCAAATAAACCAATAATATTTTCTTTTTTAGATAAAAATAAAATTTTAAATTTGAATAATATGGTATATGTGTAAGATGAGATAAAAAATAAAAAAAAATATTTTTTGTTACATAATCAACATAAAGAAATAATTGATAAATTTCATTAAATTCTTAACTTGTTTTTAATAACAATTTTTATTTTTAAGGGGCTTTTAGTTTATAATTTAAATAATATTAAATTATAAAATAATAATAATAATAATAAAAAAACCTCAAGTATCAAATAACTTATGTTATGTTTTGTGTGATTGTAAGTTTTAAATTTAATTTCATAAATTTTACAATTTTGTATTAAAATATTTCTTTATTTTTTATATTTTTATAGTATATTACAATAATTATTAAACAATAAAAATTAAATTAATTTTAATACTATTTATTAAGTTTTCAATCTCATTGTTGGTGTAAAAGTTTATTTTAAATAAAATTTTAAGATCTATTTAATATAATTATATTTTTTATTTTAATTTTTAATTTTTTTAAATTTGTAACTATTAAAAATTAAAATTTAAAATTTAAAACTACAAATCCCTTAAATAAATAAAATATTAAATTACATAATACAATGTAAGTTATATAATATATTTTTTTATTAATAGGGATATTGTTGTGTAAATTTACAGCTTTAAAATCGAGACGCATGCAAAAACCTCATTATGGTGTCCCCTCTGTCCCACGCAGACCCTCTCTCATGCCTAATGCCCTCCCTCTAGTCGTATTTTTTAAGCTTTCTCCCCATCCTCATTACCTACGTCCACCGGCTCCCTGCCCATGTCCCTCTCTTTCCTCGTTTTTACCATATTGCCACTCATGTTGTTTCACGCCTTTTTCCTTCTAAAAAATTTTACTTGACAAAATTACCCCTACCACCCTCACATAATGATGAAATGTCATTATTAATCCCTGCCAAAGAAGCCGTTTGACTTTTTTTTACAGTAAATAAATATTAAGGTGGCTAACTTCTTCCCCATGTACAATTCTTTGCCCTTTATTTAGGAAATTAATTATAGAGTTATTTAAGTTTTTCACCAACCTTAAAATTTGTCTATATCATAAATAACACATTTTGCACAATGTTTGTTACATGTCTAATTAACTAAATGGAAGGACAAGAATTTCATCTGTTAAAAACCAAACAAACACCACCCACAACCTGTTTGTTTTAGTGAAAAGGGTTTGAGTTTTTTTACATAATGTCTCGAATTTGAGTTTTATAAATAGGGGAATAGACACAGTAAGAACTTTCCCTCTTATGAGGTCGATAGGAGTTGATCTAAATTAATTAGGATCCAATGTGTTGTATATATGATTTTGATGATTATAAAACACATTTGAGTGACTAATTAGTTTATTTAACTGTATAGTTAAACACCAAAAATTACAAAAGCAAGTGAACTTGAAATGCATTAAAAATGGATCATAAAGATTGGATTGTGCAGAGAGCTAGCTTAAAAACTTTGCAGCCGACTTTGGAAGAACTGGATTGGTAGAGAGTCAGCTCTAAAACCTATAGTCAACTTTACAGGCAAAAGATTTAAAATTGTAGCTTGGGGCACGTGAAAAACAAATGCAAAGCTGGCTTCAACTTTGCAATCGGCAGTGAGAGCACATTAAATGTACAACGGTCAAGTTATTTGAAGATTTCTTTAATATTTTAAGGTTGGATTTCTAAAATTGGCTTTACATTTTGCAACTGACTCTCGAGCAAAATAGAATGTGCAAGAAACCCGCAAAACTAGCTTTACGTCTTGCAACCGGTTCTTCAAAAAAAATAGAATGTGCAGAAAACCAGTAAAACCAACTGTAGAACGCTAAACCAGCTATACAAAGCCGACTCCATACTTTAAATCGATTATGCTGACAATTTTGTAATTCGAAATTACACGTCCTACAAAGCATTAAATGACCCCCAACGACTAAAAATGACTATTTTCGAGCAATGGACTATAAATATAGTTGGTAATAGATCTAAAACAAGTTTTAGAACATTATATTGAAAATATTTACCTACCCACTTGTGCTTTAACTTGAGTTTTGATTTTAAGTGATTCTTGTTTGTAATTCTCTTTTTGTTTTATTTATGTATTTTCTTGGGGGTGTGATTTTTTCTTTAAAAGTGATTTATAGATAAGATTCTTGGGGTTTATATTGTAAATGGGTTAAAGTTTAAGAGAAATACTCTTCTTCTTTATAAAATGATTGAGTGGCTTATTTAAACCACTCTTGTTTTTCTTAGTTGAAAATGTGGAGAAAATCCTTAATGAATGAAGTCAAGGTAGAGGATTAGGTTTCAAGTGATTGGACTGAACCTTTATAAAATTATTGGGCAAGTTCTTCTTCTCTACTCTATTTAATTTTGGTTTTATAGTAGCAAAATAGAAATTTTTTTTAGAATTCCAATTCACCCCTTCTTAAAATATATTGAGTCAACATAACGTGGTTATTGGATATTAGGAGATTAATAAAAAAAAAAAACCAAACAAACACTCACAACTTGTTTGTTTGAGTGAAAGAGGTTTGAGTTCTTTTACACAATGTCTCGAATTCAAATTTTATGAATAGAAAAATAAATATTATAAGAATTTTCCTTCTTATGAGGTCGATGGGAGTCAATTCGAATTAATTAGAATTCAATGTATTGTATATATGATTTTGATTATTATAAAACACATTTGAGTGACTAATTAGTTTATTTAAGTGTGTAATTAAACACCAAAAATTACAAAAGCAAGTGAACTTAAAATGCATTAAAAATGGATCAAAAAGGCTGGATTGTGTAGAGAGCTGACAGAGCTGACTTAAAAACTCTGCAGCCAACTTTGGAAGAACTGGATTGGTAGAGAGTCTGCTCTAAAACTTACAGTCGACTCTACAAGCAAAAGACTTAAAATTGTGGCTTGGCGCACATGAAAAACAGATGCAAAGCCGGCTTCAACTTTGCAATCGACGGTGAGAGCACATTAAATGTACAATGGTCAAGTTATTTGAATATTTCTTTAATATTTTAAGGTTGGATTTCTAAAAATGGCTTTACATTTTACAGCTGACTTTCGAGCAAAACAAAATGTGCAAGAAACCCACAAAACTAGCTTTACGTCTTGCAACCAATTTTTCAAAAAAATAGAATGTGCAGAAAACCCGTAAAGTCGACTGTACAAAGCCGACTCCATACTTTAAATCGATTATGTTGACAATTTTGTAATTCGAAATTACACGTCCTATAAAGCATTAAATGACCCCCAACGACTAGAAATGACTATTTTCGAGCAATGGACTATAAATATGGTTGGTTATAGATCTGAAACAAGTTTTAGAACATTATATTGAAAATCTTTACTTACCCACTTGTGCTTTAACTTGAGTTTTGATTTTAAGTGATCTTTGTTTGTAATCCTCTTTTTGTTTTATTTGTGTATTTTCTTAGGAGTGTGATTCTTTCTTTAAGAGTGATTTATAGATAAGATTCTTGGGGTTTATATTGTAAAGGGGTGAAGTTTAAGAGAAATACTCATCTTCTTTATAAAATGATTGAGTGGCTCTTTTAAACCACTCTTGCTTTTCTTAGTTGAAAATGTAGAGAAAATCCTTAATGAGTGAAGTCAAGGTAGAGGATTAGGTTTCAAGTGATTGAACCTCTATAAAATTATTAGGCAAGTTCTTCTTTTCTACTCTATTTAATTTTGGTTTTATGGTTGCAAAATGAAAAAATTTTTTAGAACTCCAATTCACCCCTTCTTAGAATACATTGAGTCAACATAATGTGGTTATCGGATATTAAGAGGTTAATACAAAAAAAAAAAAAAAACCAAATAAACCATTTTCTATTATGCCTTTGCTACTTATATAAATATAAATATATATATATATATAT